CCAAATAATGATAGATACCTGGGCTTGTGTTTACATCCATTTACATGGATGTAAATTCAAAGAGTCGGAGTACCCGGCCCGGAGGGTTACCGGGGTCCCACCCTGGAGCCAGGCCTGGGGTTGGGGCCCGTGAGTGAGCGCCTGGTGGCCGGGCTTTCACCCATGGGGCCTGGCCGGGCCCAGCCCGAACCGGATACATGGGCTCATCCAACTGTGGACCCACCACCCGCAGGAGGAACATGAAGGGTCCGGTGCAATGTGGATCGGGTGGCAGACCAAGGCGGGAGCCTTGGTGGTCCAATCCGATCCCCGGACAAGAAAACTGGTTTTTGGGACATGGAACGTCACCTCGCTGGCGGGGAAGGAGCAGGAGCTTGTAGCAGAGTTTGAGCGGTACCGGCTAGACATAGTCGGACTCACCTTGACACATAGCATTGGCTCTGGAACCCAAATCCTTGAGAGGGGTTGGACACTCTCCTTTGCTGGAGTTGCTCCGGGTGAGAGGCGGAGGGCTGAGGTTTGCTTTTTGTTAGCCCCAAGACACTCTGCCTGTGTGTTGGCGTTTACCCCGGAGGACGAGAGGGTAGCTTCTCTGTCCCTTCGGGTCGGGGAACGGGTCTTGACTGTTGTTTGTGCTTATGGGCCAAATATCAGTTCAGAGTACCCACCCTTTTTGGAGTCCCTGGGACGAGTGCTAGATAGTGCTCCATCAGGGGACTCCATTGTCCTGCTGGGGGACTTCAATGCTCACGTGGACAATGGCAGCTTGACCTGGAGGGGTGTGATTGGGAGGAACGGCCCGCCTAATCTGAACTCGAGTGGTGTTTCATTATTGGACTTCTGTGCAAGCCGCAGTTTGGCCATAACGAACACCATGTTCAAACATAAGGATGCCCACCGGTACACTTGGTACCAGGGCAGCCTAGGTCACAGGTCAATGATAGACTTTGTAGTCGTATCATCTGACCTGCGGCCATATGTTTTGGACACCCGAGTGAAGAGAGGAGCAGAGCTGTCAACTGATCACCATCTGGTGGTGAGTTGGATCAGATGGCAGGGGAAGATGCCGCGTAGACCTGGCAGACCCAAACACATAGTGAGGGTCTGCTGGGAACGCCTGGCAGAAGAACCTGTTAAGACGGTCTTCCACTCCCACCTCCGGCAGAGCTTTGACCGCGTCCCAAGAGCAGTGGGGGACATTGACTCCGAGTGGGCCTTGTTCCACTCTGCGATTGTTGAGGCGGCTGCTGTTAGCTGTGGTCGCAAGGTGGCCGGTGCCAGTCATGGTGGCAACCCCCGTACCCGCTGGTGGACACCAGAGGTTCGGGGAGCCGTCAGGCTGAAGAAGGAGGCCTACAGGGCGTGGCTGGTCTGTGGGTCTCCGGAGGCAGCAGACCGGTACCGGATAGCCAAGCGGAGTGCAGCAGTGGCAGTTGCCGAGGCAAAATCTCGGGCGTGGGAGGAGTTTGGTGAGGCCATGGAGAAAGACTATCGATCGGCTCCAAAGAGGTTCTGGCAAACTGTCCGGCGCCTCAGGAGAGGAAGGCAGCAACTCGCTCACACTGTTAACAGTGGGGATGGGAAGCCGCTGACGTCAACTGGGGCTATAGTCGGACGGTGGAAGGAATACTTTGAGGAGCTCCTCAATCCCACCTATGCGCATTCCGAGGAGGAACCAGAGCCGGGGGACCTGGGGATGGACTGTCCAATCTCGGGGGGGCAGAAGTTGCAGAGGTAGTCAAACAACTACACAGCGGCAGAGCCCCGGGGGCGGATGAGGTTCATCCTGGGTATCTCAAGGCTATGGATGTTGTAGGGCTGTCATGGTTGACACGTCTCTGCAACATTGCATGGTCATCGGGGGCAGTTCCTGTGGAGTGGCAGGCCGGGGTGGTGGTCCCCATCTTTTAGAAGGGTGACCTGATGGTGTGTTCCAACTATAGGGGGATCACACTCCTCAGCCTCCCTGGATAGGTCTACTCCAAGGTACTGGAGAGGAGTGTCCGATCGATAGTTGAATCTCAGATTGAGGAGGAGCAATGTGGTTTTCGTCCTGGCCGTGGAACTGTGGACCAGCTCTATACCCTTGCAAGGGTGATGGAGGGGGCATGGGAGTTTGCCCAACCAATCCACATGTGTTTTGTGGATTTGGAGAAGGCTTATGACCGTGTCCCCAGGGGCACCCTGTGGGGGACGCTCCAGGAGTATGGGGTGGGTGGCTTTTTGTTAAGGGCCATTCAGTCCCTTTACCAGAGGAGCGTGAGTTTGGTCCGCATAGCCAGTAGTAAGTCCGACATGTTCCCGGTGAGGGTTGGACTCTGCCAGGGCTGCCCTTTTATCACCGGTTCTGTTCATTACCTTTATGGACAGAATTTCTAGGCGCAGCCGTGGTGTGGAGTGTGTCGAGTTTGGTGGCAGGAGAATCTCATCTCTGCTTTTTGCGGATGATGTGGTCCTCCTAGCTTCATCCAGCTCTGACCTTCAGGTCTTGCTGGGTAGGTTTGCGGCCGAATGTGAAGCGGCTGGGATGAGGATCAGCACCTCCAAATCTGAGACCATGGTTCTCGACCGGAAAAGGGTGGCTTGCCAACTCCGGGTCGGGGGAGAGGTCCTACCTCAAGTGGAGGAGTTTGGGGAGAGGACAGTCTGGAGCTCCCTAGTTGGGATGTTGCCCCTGCGACCCGGACCCGGATAAGCGGAGGAAGACGACGACAACAACGACCTGGGCTTGTTACCAGAAAGTAGTTTGAGATGCCCGTAATAAATTATTTTCAAATATTATTACTGCATCCTTTGGCAACCAGCGTGTCCTGTATCAGACCCTCAATGCTGTTCTTTCAGCTAGTGACCACCACTCTCTTACTACCTCAGATGCTCAATGCACTCAATTTTGGAAATTTTTTCTAGGAAAAATTGCTAGCATCTGGGCTCAAATTTCTTCTCCCTATGTTACTAGTTTTCCTGAACCAATCCTGCATCGGTTTCTTGATAACTTTGACTTACTTTCTTTGTCCTCTGTAGCGTAATGAAGGAGCCATTTCTCCCCTCTAACAGCTGTTCTGTTTGACACAGTGCCAGAGTGCATGAAACAGCCCAAGGTCATGCATTCACTCCTAATGTTTACATTCCAGCAGTGAAGACAGAAGGACGAAGAATGAACTCTTTTCTTTTAATTAACCAAAGAACTCTATTTTAATAAAGCTAATCAAAATAGTAGTTAGTCAATAATAACCATGTGACCGATCTGTGAAATCACAATGTTATGATTAATGTTTAATAAGGAAATGACGTATTGTAGCCACTAGACACGCTGATTCACAAGATAAATAATCATGACACATTCCGGTCGCAAAATCCAACCAGAACCTTCACATCTGAAGCGTGGCAGAGTCTCTGTGGTGTTTATTTAATCTGTCAGCTGTGATTCGTCCAGAAACGAAAACATCAAAGATTAATAAGTCAGAACAACGCCATTTTGAGTTCAGTCTTCAGCCAGCTCTCAAAATCATCTGATGTTCATCATTGCTAAGTGGAGTACGAACTGGCCATCTTTACTTTTTACTTTTAAGCTGAGAACTGTCAAGCTGGGAACATCCTGTCGTTGTTATCAACATAACAACGGTTCCTTCAGAATGAAAGCTGAACTCGCTGACCCAAAAGGGGGGTCCCTTTTGACGCTGTGAAACACCTGCCGTTTTTACCTGGAGACTATCCATAGACTGGCTTGTCGTGCTGAGGATGCTGTTTCATTCGGCTCCAGTACCAGAGGAGGGTCCTTGGACCTGGCAGCCTGATCTAAGACGGGAGTCCCTGACGGGTAATGTAGAACGGCACAGATAGCGTCTCGTCAAAGGTTCAAACGTCGATCAGTTAGGAGCAAAACAACATCTCCCACTCAGACTCGCTTCTCCAGAACGCGGAGGTTCTGAACTGACATCGCACCAACACACACTCCACCTCATTCCCTTCCATTTGCATCCATCACTAGAGAGTTAGTCCTGTTAATTGTTTAAAATAATTTAGATAATAAATTTTTCTTAAACGTTGGAGGTCTCTCTTGTCTCTCATTTCATGCAAAGTGTATTTTAAATTTCCCTGTAATAAAAAGAACATTCTTCTGATTTTAAAAGCCCAGTGTCCAGAGATGGGACCCATGCCAGGTATGGATCATTAACATCTCTGGTCATTAATTAAATTGTAATACCCTTCATTTCCATTACACCTCTCTTGAGAACCTCCTGTCTGCCTTGAAGCCGTCAGGTTCTCATGTTGACCCTGTCCCTCCACACCTCCTTAAAGAGACATATTCTGTCACTGGCCCCCTTTTGCTGAACATTATTAACAACAGCTTATCCACTGGTGTTGTACCCCGTGCTTTTAAACATGCAGTAGTTCAACCCATTCTGAAGAAGCCTGGCTTGAACACCTCGGTTATGAGTAATTTTCGCCCGATCTCCAAGCTTCCGTTTCTATCCAAACTACTAGAGCGTGCTGATTTTAAACAAATTATTTCTTACCTTGATGATCATGGTTTAATGGATCCCTTCCAGTCAGGCTTCCGATCCCTCCATAGCACTGAGTCAGCTCATCTTCATGTTTTTAATGACACTTTATTAAACCTTGACTCTGGTTCTAATGTATTGCTGGTTTTGTTGGATCTATCTGCTGCTTTCGACACGGTTGATCACCCTATTCTGCTGACTCGGCTGAACCAGCTGGTCGGCATCCAGGGCCTTACATTGGTTTTGGTCCTACTTTGCAGTACTGCAAAGGGGAGAGGAAAAGGTCGCTCCGAGGGTCAGGGAAGGACACGCTCAAGGGGTGAGGGCAGCAGGCTGAGGTCCAGAGCTCCTTCAAGAGGACCAGGGCGCCGGGGTAGGCAGCGAACAGCTTTCAGAGAAGAGGACCGAGACCGGCTTGCACAGCTGAGAGCTGCCAGTACAGCTGAGATGCAGGTTGGTTGTACTCATTTGTGTAAAAAAATAAAATAAGATAATAGAGAGATGCCAAAAACGAAAACATCACTCACTGGAGATATGAATCTAGTCATGTAAACATATGCTCTTTAATTTCTAGACAGCTTTACAACACCTGAGCCAGGAGGAGAGAGATTATATTCTCGAGAGAGTGGTGACCCGTCTTCCAGGGGTGATGCTGGATATCCTGGAGTTTCGGCAAGAGACTCCAGGACACCATCTTCCTGATTGAGGGCACCCTAACCCAAAACTCCAAACCGTTTATCTACAACTACAGTAGTTCCAAAACAGCACAATACCTCAAAATAACTTTAGCTGAAGACAGCATTTTCACCCAAAAATAAACAAACAGTTTGTGCAATATATTTATTTTTATTTATGTACAAAAAGTTCTGTTATTTGCATTTGTACATAGTATTTTTTCTTAATTTCTAATAAATCTGTGTGCATGAAAGAAGTCATTCCTGTCTTTTGATGCTTCACGTAGCTGGGGCCTTTATGGGGAGACTCTGCAGACAGATTTCTGAGTATCTCCTCCTTTGGTACACAGATCCTCACTGAGCCAAGTACTGTGAACAAATAGTTTCTCCATGATATTATCCAACAAGGTCTTGTTTTTGTCAAAACAAGGGTGAGGTAATGAAAAAATAGAAATATTTCAATAAATTAACATTAAAATTATTTATATGCATAATTTAAAAAAAAACATGTTTTGAAATATATAAAGTGCACCAAACTTGACTCAGTCCATTCAACAATTCTAAATGGACAATTATGTAACTCATCAATTAATTATTTGAAAGGATAATGTGTCAATAAATGCTGAAAAAAAATAAACAATACATTAATGATGCAAGAACTTTTTAAACTTGAAAATACCTACACCCACAAGTCTATTTTGACCTGGTTAAAACCATCTAGCTTATGTGCACTTTTTAAAACACTGCCCAGCAAACATTCGGACGTTTAATGACTGTTGAACGGTCACAACTGTAAAATAATATCACAGGAATTAGGAAAGAATAGTATGACATCAACTCTATGTTCCTTGGCCGGACTCGAACCTGGATCCTCCAGAGTGAGAGTCACCCGCTCTCCCAGCTGAGCTATGACAGCAACTGCTGAATGTCAGATTTTTTATATAGATAGGTAGAGAGTAAAGTGCGGGGTAAACTAACCAATCAGAGGACAGGGAAGATCTGCCACAGGCCACGCCTCCAGAGTGCCAAAACTCCTCACAGCCGAGCGAGCGGAATTAGAAACCGAGCGCGCAGAGGCTGCCGAGCGCGCAGAGAGGCTGCCGCACGCGCACGTTTTCCTCTGCCGTGTGGTCGTTGGCAACGCGCGCACGCAGGTTTGTCACTTGTGCACATCCTTGTGCGCTCACAGACACAGTTTGCTCCCTCTCAGTGCACAAATGACCTCTCGCCATGTATATTTTCGCTTGCGAGTCCCGTTCATGCGCGCGCTGCCATGTATATTTTCGCTCGCGAGTCCCGTTCACACGCGCGCTGTGGACCCAATGCGCGTGCACGGGTTGTGGCACACTTTAAACGCCATATGGGACTCAACCCCAGCGCCGGTCGATACTCTCATATGGGTAGCTTCTAGCCTCCTAAACTGTCCTGGTCCTGCGTTCTGAGCTAATGAATTTGTTTGTCCTGTTCCAGTTTCCTGTTCTGAACCACCTACCTGGTCTGGAGTTGTTTCCCATCTCACCACTCAAGGATCCTCAGGTCTCCGATCTCCTCGCCCGCCTGCCTGTCCACGCTCAGCACCATCCTCACCACTCCAGCCTCTCCCAGTCCTCCTCCGCACAACTTCTGGTCTCTGACCGTAAGAACTCTCAGTCACTCAGTCAGATTCTCCTGGTTCTCTGGTTCCGGTCTCGCTCACCTCTCCTCTTATCTTTTATAGATTCCGGTCCCGTCCCGTTCCGTTCCTGTGTTTCAGACGCAGCGCCTTTAGTTCTAGTTTTGTCCCCTTATTTCTGTTTTAAGAAATAAAACATTTATATTTTTCTTACTCTGTCGTGATTCTTCATGTCCTTGGTGAAAGCTCTTACCCACAGCATGACAATCTATGGTAATGACGTTGCGTGCCAACAGCCATGAAACTTTAGAGGAAGATGTTGGAGGAGGCCGAACAACATGGCGGCCGAGTAGGACTTTTTTCGCCGCTCTGGTCACACCCAAACGTTTTTTGAACGCGTTTAACTGCTTTTTCGTGTTAAAAATAACCTACCCAACAGTCTACCAACAGTTTAAGCCTCTCTGGCTTCTTCTGGGCAGGTAACCATGCCTAAATCAGCTCTTAAAAGAGGCAGCTATGGCAACAAGATGGAAGTTAGCTTGGCAGCTAACAACAACGACCATAACTATGACGGTATAATGGCCAGCAACTCTCAAGTAGTGGATGAAGACGAATCCCCTCCTCTCCTGGTTACACCGTGCAAACCCCCAATTGCAAAGAAACCAGCTGTCGGTAATTCCCCGCTCAACAATTCCCTAATTTCTGAAGATGTTGTTTCGATGCTTGCTAACTTGATAAGTTCCAGAAGTGATCTGCAAGAGAAAAAAGTGGAAAGTGTGCATGAAGAAATTGTTGAGATAAAGAATAAGATAGGCCGCGTTGAGAAAAGAGTTGTCTCAAATGAAAAAAACATCCCTGTGTGCATGGACCGAGTAGCAGAACTTGAGCGTTACGGGCGGCGGTGGAATTTAAAACTCCATGGTGTTGCCGAATCTGACCGAGAAAACTGTCGACAGGAAATAATACGTGTTTTACAAGAGATTTTGCCCCAGGAGAAAGAGAAGATTCCCGACTTCATTGATGTGGCACACCGCGTTGGAAAGAAGCGCTCAGGTGATCCCAGACCAAGAGCCATCATCCTGCACTTCACTGCCAGAAGACACTGAGATGACATCTGGAAAGCGGCCAAAGGCAGCAGCTTCTTGCAGAGGAATAACTTGCACTTCTTGGAGGACTTATATAAAGTCGACCGCGACTCACGTCAAAAACTGTGGCCCTCCATCCGGAAAGCTCGAGAAGAAGGAAAAGTGGCGTACTTCATCGGAGGCCGGGGCTTTGTTGACGGTACAGAAATCTCGCAGATCGCCATAATGGAACACTGAATTAGAGCCTCACAATCGTCTTTTGGCATCACTCGTTTCTTCTATTCAAAGAGTGGCTTTTTGGCCATCTGCTAATATGGGTATGGTAACATAATTTCAAGTTAATGTGTTGCAGTATACTTATTGGTTTAGCTGGGTACCAGTTACGGTGGTTCCATTTTATACACTTTTCAACACAGGTTGTTCAATAATATTTGAACTTTATTGTTAGTGTTCTTTGTTGTTGTTATGTTATCTTTATTTTCTCTAAATGCCAGGGGGTTACGCAATATAACTAAAAGAAAAGCTTTATTTTTATTTGCTAAAATGACCAGATCAGATTTTTGTCTTTTCAGGAAAGTCCTTCTACAGTAGAGGATGCCAGTTTTTGGAAAACACAATGGGGTAATACTATTTGGTTTTCACATTTGCTGTACATTCTGCAGGAGTTGCAACTCTAAAAAACAGATTTAATGGAGAGATTCTTTTAACGGAAAGTGACCCCTTTGGTCACTATACATGTCAGATGATTGAGGTGGAACATAGACATTTTTTTTCTGTGCAAATGTATATGGTTATAATAACAGAAAGGATAACATAAGTTTATTTCGCTCTCTTGAAAAGATAGTTACAACGTGGTTTAAAACTTTCCACATGCTCTAATTTGTATGGGAGGTGATGTTAACACTGTTATGAATGGACAAACTGACAAATGGCCACCAGGGAAACCAAATGATTCCAGCTCCATTGTTATCTCTTTCATGGAAAAATTTAATTTAGTTGACATTTGTAGGGTTAAGAATGATGACACCAGTGTGTTTACCTGGTCTAACAAAACTGGTTCAAACAATCTAGATTAGATTTCTGGTTGATCTCTAAAACTATAAATAAAGATTGTGTCAATATTAAGATATCCCCTACTCCTCTCACCGATCAAAAAGCCATTCAGATAACCATCAATCTGTCAGATTATAAAAACTCCAACTCCATACGCACTTATTGGAAATTGAACTGTCAATTACTACAACATGAAGAGGTTACGGTAAAGATTTCTGTGTTAATTCATACTTTCTGGTCAAAAGCTAAAAATGAAAATAGTTTTGGATCTAACTGGGAACTTTTCAAGTTTGAATGTGGTAAGTTTCTGAGGAAATTTGGCAGTGCCAGAGCAAAATCATCTAATGCCGAGGAAGCAGATATTATACTGGGTATTTCAAAACTCTCTCTGATTCGCCTCTCTCTATTGACTAGCGAAGAACAGCAAGAGTTAGCTGAATTACAACTGAAACTAGATAATATCTATACCCAGAAGAGTAAAGGTGCCTTTGTATATTGTATATTGTATATTATAAATAAAGCATTGATTGATTGATTGATTGATTTGTCAGATCGAGGAATTCTGTTGCTCCTTTTATGAAAAGTTATATTCCTCCAATCCAAACATATCATCTACTGATTCCTTTCTAAGCTCTTTTACTGCTAACACTATTTCTCAAACTGAACAACAAATTTGTGAAAATTCGATTACAATACAAGAAATTTTAGATGCAATAAATTGTCTAAAAACTAACAAATCGCCTGGGGTTGATGGTTTATTAACAGAATTCTACAAAACATTTCCTCAAGATTTAGCCCCTTTTCTAGCCCCTTTAGAGGTTTTCAATGAAAGTATCGGAAGAGGTGTCCTTCCACCCACCTTGACTCAAGGTCTAAAGATATTAATTCCTAAACCCAAAAAAGATCCATTGCTCATTGATAATTGGCGCCCTATCTGTCTTCTCAATAATGATTATAAAATCCTTGCTGTCACTTTTGCTAAAAGGTTAAAATCAACTCTACACTCAATCATTGATGACACACAATCGGGCTTTATGAAGAACAGACATATCACCAATAATATTAGGCTTGTTTTAGACCTCCTAGATTACCCTGAGCTTGTTCAAGACAATAGTTTCATTTTGTTTTTAGACTTTTACAAAGCCTGTGATACCATTGAGCATAATTTCATTTTTCAGTCTCTTGACAAATTTGGTTTTGGGCCTTTCTTTAAAGCTGCTATTAAAACTATGTATAAAAATGGTAATAGCTCCATCAAGTTGAAGGGCGGTACTTCTGCCAGATTTAATATTTGTAGAGGTATCCGTCAAGGATGCCCCATCTCCCCCTATTTATTTCTTTTAGTGAGTCAAATTCTGGCCTATCACATACATTCTAGTCCTCTTAAAGGTATAACAGTAGCTGGTAGAAGCTTAATACTAACTCAACTGGCTGGTGACACAACCTTATTTTTAAGAGATCACTCTCAAATTTCTGTGGCAATCAATGTAATAAATACCTTTTCCAATGTATCCGGCCTCCATTTAAATATTAAAATATGTGAACTCATGGCAATAAAAAATTGTTCTGAATGTGAATTTGAGAATATACCTGTCCAAAATGAAGTTACTTACCTAGGGGTAATTATCACAAAAAATCAACCTGAAAGATGTTCAAGAAACTTTAATCCTTTAATTAAAAATACTCAGAAGAAGCTTAATCAATGGCTCATAAGAGACCTCTCTATAAGAGGTCGCATTTTGATTAGCAAAGCTGAGGGCATCCCCCGGCTGACTTATGCGGCCCTGGCTCTAGATCTTAATAGTAACGTGTGTAAGGAGATTGATCGGTTATTCCTTGACTTTGTTTGGAAAAACAAGACCCACTTTCTTAAAAAATCCTCCCTAATGAATGCGCTTGAAAATGGTGCTTCCCATTTCTTTATTGAATAATACTTTTAAAATTAACTGGATTTGTCAGTTTTTCAAGTCTCCTACCTCTATCTGGCGTATAATACCCCATCACATTTTATCCAACTTGGTGGTTTAAAGTTTTTCTTGATTTGCAACTATAATGTGGAAAAGCTCCCCGTTACTTTATCAGCCTTTCATCGCCAGGCCTTCCTCTCATGAACACTCATGTACAAGCACAAGCTCTCACCTCACCGCTGCTTCATCTGGAATAATGACATTCTTTATAAACACAAGTCTCTGTTTTTCAACTCATGGTTCCAGAATAACATAATTTTAGTAGACCAACTCTTTAATGCAGAAGGTCAGTTACTTTCCTATGGTGAGTTTCTACAACAGTATAATATTCCGATTACGCCGGGCGAATACGCAAATGTTTTTGGAGTCATTTCTCCAGGAGTGTGTATGTTATTCAACCAGAGACCTAGATAAGATTATAGTCAGTTCTCTCCTGTTTTTTCTCCAGCTCTGTCCCCAATCGGTGAAGTATGTTTTAATTGCTCTCCTAATAATGAAAATAAAGCAATTAGAACTGTCTTTCTTAAAGACATGACATCTCGTCCATGTGCCGTACCATACTGGAATAGATTTGTGGATGACTTGACATGGAGGAAGGTTTGGCTTCTACCCAATCAATTTTTGATCACTAACAAGGTTAAAGAATCTTCCTTTAAACTATTACATAGATTCTACCCCTCTAAATGTTGTTTAAAATGTTTAAATCAGACCTGGATGTATCTTGTACATTTTGTGAAGATCTTCCAGAAACAACGACTCATCTTTTTTGGCTGTGCCCTCAGTCCAAACGGTTTGGGCAGTCTTTCTGTGACTTCATCTGCTGTAAATTCTCTGTCAGTTTAACATTTATTGGAAGCAGGTTTTGTTTGGCCTTCACCAGAATATTTTTAAGAACTCTATTACATTTTTTATTAATCTGTTATTTCTTTTGGCCAAATTTCATATCCATAAATATAATTTTCTTAAAAGCAAACCCAACTTTAACTGTTTCTTAGTGGGTCAAGCATTATATGGACTCTATTCGGTTCTCACAAAACCAGAAGGCTGTAAAGACTACTCAAATATGTACCCGCTTTAAGATAATCTGATCCTGATTTATTACTATTTCTGGGTTGATGTTCTCTCTAGATATACAGGTGCTGGCCAGTAAATTAGAATATCATCAAAAGGTTGAAAATATTTCAGTAATTCCATTCAAAACGTGAAACTTGTACATTATATTCATGCAATGCACACAGACCAATGTATTTCCAATGTTCATTACATTTAAATTTGATATTCATAAGTGACAACTAATGAAAACTCCAAATTTGGTATCTCAAAAAATTAGAATATTCTGAAAAGGCTGAATATAGAAGACACCTGCTGCCACTCTAATCAGCTGATTTACTCAAAACACCTGCAAAGGCCTTTAAAAGGTCCCTCAGTCTTGTTTTGAAGGCACCACAATCATGGGGAAGACTTCTGACTTAACAGCTGTCCAAAAGACAATCATTGACACCTTGCACAAGGAGGGCAAGACACAAAAGGTGATTGCTAAAGAAGCTGGCTGTTCGCAGAGCTCTGTGTCCAAGCACATTAACAGACAGGCGAAGGGACGGAAAAAATGTGGTAGAAAAAAGTGTACAAGCTCTAGGGATAACCGCACCCTGCAGAGAATTGTGACGACAAACCCATTCAAAAATGTGGGGGAGATCCACAAAGAGTGGACTGCAGCTGGAGTCAGCGCTTCAAGAACCACCACGAGGAGACTCATGAAAGACATGGGATTCAGGTGTCGCATTCCGTGTGTCAAGCCACTCTTGAACAAGAAACAGCGCAAGAAGCGTCTCGCCTGGGCCAAGGACAAAAAGGACTGGACTGATGCTGAGTGGTCCAAAGTTATGTTTTCTGATGAAAGCAAGTTCTGCATTTCCTTTGGAAATCAAGGACCCAGAGTCTGGAGGAAGAGCGGAGAAGCACAGAATCCACGTTGCATGAGGTCCAGTGTAAATTTTCCACCGTCAGTGATGGTGTGGGGTGCCATGTCATCTGCCGGTGTTGGCCCACTCTGTTTCCTGAGGTCCAGGGTCAATGCAGCCGTCTACCAGGAAGTTTTAGAGCACTTCATGCTTCCTGCTGCTGACCAACTTTATGGGGATGCAGACTTCACCTTTCAACAGGACTTGGCACCTGCACACAGTGCCAAAACCACCAGCACCTGGTTCAAGGACCATGGTATCCCTGTCCTTGATTGGCCAGCAAACTCGCCTGACCTTAACCCCATAGAAAATCTATGGGGTATTGTGAAGCGGAGGATGCAATACGCTAGACCCAACAATGCAGAGGAGCTGAAGACGACTATCAGAGCAACCTGGGCTCTCATAACACCTGAGCAGTGCCACAGACTGATCGAGTCCATGCCACGCCGCATTACTGCAGTTATTGAGGCAAAAGGAGCCCCGACTAAGTATTGAGTGCTATACATGCACATTCTTTTCATGTTCATTCTTTTCAGTTGGCCAACATTAGAGAAACAAACATTTTTTCATTGGCCTTTAGAATATTCTAATTTTCTGAGATACCAGATTTGATGTTTTCATTGGTTGTCACCTATAAATATCAAAATTAAACGTAATAAACATCGGAAATACATTGGTCTGTGTGCATTGCATGAATATAATGTACAAGTTTCACGTTTTGAATGGAATTACTGAAATATTTTCAACCTTTTGATGATATTCTAATTTACTGGCCAGCACCTGTATGCTACTGTAATCGGTATTTTTCTGTCACCCACCTTTTGGACATCCCCCTGGCACTTTGTTTTCATTTTTTTGTGCACATCTCACTTTTCTTATTCGTTGTCAACTGTGAGCTCATTGTCACTTTGTATATTACACTTTTGTTAATAAAGGTTTGTTTTAAAAAACAGAGGAAGATGTTTTGTCATTTCCGGACTTCCTGTTGGCGGGAGACGGCTCAGAGTCTGACGGAGTAGCAGACAGACCAGACGGACCATGTCCCGGGTTCTGAACGGTATCGTCGCGGTGTGTCCTGATCTGGGTATCGGGAAGAACGGAGACCTGCCCTGGCATCCGGTTCGGCTCAAGTAGGTCACACCGGAACCGGGAACGGACTGAAAAAGAATCCAATAGGGAAAATGTCAACGTTTACATTCAAAGCTGTGGGAAATCTGCTCCCTTCGCTGAGTTCAAAGTGCGCGTGAAGCTCACTTCTTAACTTAGAAGGAGCGAATTAACCAAAAGCTTGTTTCGTTTTCTTTTTTAGTAGAGAGTTCGCCCATTTTCGGAAGATGACCTCGACTCCGTTTGTGGAAGGTAACTTAAACCTCTGATTATTAGACTTAAAGCCAAAGATTAGCAGACCAAAACATCTGCGTTCTCCGGACAAGACTGATCTCAGATCTGCTCTGGTGTACGAGGTTAGCTAAAGGGCCATTACACCCAATTTTTCTCTACTCTGACCCTCTTTAATCTGCTCTAGCTGAAAAACTACAACAGCCACACTGTTCACACCTGTTCGAGATTATTCTACTATAATAGCAGATCAAATAAAACACAGTGTGGGATTTATGAATCCTTTCCCTTATTTGTGAAACTTCAACACAGACTGTATTTTTCGGTGACATGTAGCAGTTACAGAACAGTCTTAATTAAAAACAAGCAGAAATATTCAGCCTCAAACTTTTTTATTCTCCCACATTCCAGAGAACTTCAGATAACTGAACATCTCTCCATTTCTGTTTTCAGTTTCATGAGAAGTTCCGCTTTTTCGCTGCAAAAAAAAAAAAAAAAAATTTCAGGTATATTTTATTTCTCCATTCCCAAAGACATACAAACAATCTTTTTCTTGCAGATGTCTTTCAGAGACTCTGATTGTCTTACCTCTCATCCATCTCACCATGCTCAATCCTTTCCACTGCCTCAGCCCTGGTTAGCCCTGGACCTTTTTGAGTGCTTTTGCTGATGCCTGTGTTACATAAAACGGTTCATTAGAAAAAGTTTTTTCAAGATTTATCGTGCTTTTAATAACATGTATTCACTAATTTTCCACTGACATTTTTCCTAATTTCAGACTCTGGTTCACCTTGCCTACTCCTACCCTGATTTGTGTGATCACAACTGGATCTTCTTAAAATATTTCTTGAATCTACAATATTTCTTGCCACTGTAGTGGTCTTTATTCATTTGTAAAAGGGATGAAAGATGGTCTAAAATAAAAGTGGATCACATAAAGCAAATCAATAATCCCAGGAAGGCATGTACTCCTCTCAAACTGTGCTCACAATACCTCAAAGCTACCTTAATCATCATTAGTTTGTATTAATGTACCAAAATAGTAACCTGGTTATGTTTGTGTATGTACAAGTAAAGTACATTAGGGATGCACCGATACGATACTGGTATCGGCACCAATACCAATATCGGTATCGGTAAAAGTTAACCGATGCCAGGAACCGATACCAATGCAGTTGCTTGAAAGTGGCTTCATTGTAACTTGTCATTTCTGTTCACCTATTTTAGTTTTGTGATGATTTCTATTCATATATTTTACTTTTTATCTACCTCACAGTCTTTTTCTGTCGAAAGCAGAGAAAAAAATAAATTTGTATTCCAAATCATTGCATTTTTTTGTGTGGTAGAAGTATCGGTAATCGGCGAGTACTCAGATCCAAGTATCGGATAAATCGGTATCGTATCGGTTTGAATGTACGATACATTACGGTAATATGACGGAGTTCCTGTCCGAGAGCCGGCCCGGGACAAAAAGACTACGCCGTTAGAACAATGGAGGAGCGGAGGAATTGTTTTGGAGGCGTATTATAGTCGGACTATCTGTGCTCGTTGACGTGTGCTACTATGGGCACGCGCAGACCGATTTTTTTTTTAAGGCTTTGTTGAAGTTTTACAAATCAGGGAAAGGTGTCACAAATCCCACACTGTGTTTTATTTGATCTGCTATTACAGTAGAATAATCTAGAACAGGTTTGAACAGTGTGGCTGTTGTAGTTTTTGAGTTAGAGCAGATTAAAGATGGTCAGAGTAGAGAAAAATTGGGTGCAATGGCCCTTTAGCCGTTTCCCGAATCGGAAGCTAACTTCAGCTCGTCTCTGTGTTTACATTTGACCTAGCTGATCTCGGATCTGCTGTCTTGCAGAAAGCAGAATGTGGTCATCATGGGGAGAAGACCTGGTTTTCGATCCCGGAGAAGAACCGACCTCTCAAGGACCGCATCAACATTGGTCTCAGCAGGGAGCTAACGTATGTGTGCCTCACACTTGACACCAGTGAATAACATGTTTTAATTTGGAGACCGATGCACACCAGGGTTAAATGAGACTGATATAAAACATTTATCTGGATTTTTCTGCTCCTGGGGCGGAGTGCACCAGCTGGGTGTATGTCCAGGTGTAACCTTAAAGAGCATCTTTAATGTTCCTTAAAATGATAGAAAACAACATCAGAGGTCAAAAGTTACATTGCTTATCTTCCAGGTGTTCAGATAACTAGCAGATGTTTAAAATGCTAAACCAAGGAAGTGGGCTAGCTACCCTAAAAACAAGTGGTTTGGAGTCACGTGACTCATTACGCACCTGAAGGAATGCTCAGAGGAAGATGTGCTCGACTCGGTACATTTTAGTTGCTGAGGTGACTGCGATTCAGCTAGTGCAACGATGGTTAACGTGTGTGTGTGTCATCGATTTCCACACAGAAAATGAATATGAGACGCACAGAGATCAGATCATGTAAACGTAGAGGTGACATGGGCTGGGGCTTTCTTTTTGGTACTGATGTAAATGTGGGTCGCCATGTTGGATGGGTCACCAGTCACCCCAGTGCATTCATTGGGCCTAGAAAAGTTAATCAGCAATGCCACATAACCTGTTTTAACAGTATGCTGGTTGTTGGAACCGTAGACGCTCAAAACAGGCATGGTTGCTCACTCAACGAGTGTTTTATTAGACGCACTCACTTAGACCTGCACCAATCCAGCAACTGCTGCATCTTAATAACTAGTATTAAAGGTGAGTACACAATATTTGCACGAGAATAATTTCTGTTTTAAATTCTCAGTGACACACTATGCAGGGGGGGGGGGGGGGGGGGTTGGCATTTAATTTTTCTTGGCGTCTGGAAAAACATCTCTTCTGCCCCCCTTTATTTTGTCAACATCATTACTGGGCTGGCCCTGTAAACACCTTCTACACCCCTGCTTAGTAGACTTAATGAAGTATTTTTAAGCAGTATAAAAATGACTGAAACACAAATTTACATATTTGGCATTACTGACCAATATCTTTGATTTAATTTATTAAGAACATCAAGATGCATTACAGTGAACATTATAATAAAGTACATGTTTCTAGTGCAGAGAGGAGACGACCCATAGAAGCACTGGTCTGATCTCATTTCAGAGAAAGTAGAACAGGTCAGATGCACCTAATAAATAAAATTCTAACATAAACTCAGGAATCTGTTTCTTTGCTTCACTGTTCTGGTGCTGAAAATATCACTAATGCGGATCAGATGCACAGATGAATGCACCTCTTATTTATTATTTGGACATCAGTGGGTGTGGTTTACATCAATACATTATTTTAAATCTGAAATTGATATAGATTGATCAGAAGTTGTTTATTTATAAACTATTGTTTATTAGAAAACTATTTAGAGAGCAGCCTCAGAACTGAGATTATATATTTTTGATCACAATAGTAAAGGAACTGTTACAGAACAAGTGTTTCAGTAAAACCAGAACATTAATGTTTAAGTGCATGAATTAGTACATCTGAACTCATGCAGTAGGAACTAGGAAATATGAAATACTAGAACCATTTTATTTTCATTTGATTAAACAGATTGTTTTCCTAACGTTGTTGGCATTTTTCCACACAACACACACACACACACACAGTTGAACGAGAGGGAGAGAGAAAACAACCCGACCGGAGAGGAGGCGGTGACCGACGCAGCTCGAGCCGTGTTCTTGTCAAATGCACCACGTAACGCTACGAAAAGGTTACTTAAATATTCAACCGAAAAAGAGGCAAACTGAAGAAACCTAGGGAGTACTGAAGAAACGTGAAGCAAGCACAGAGAACCGTTACTGTGTGTGTGTGTGTGTGTGTGTGTGTGTGTGTGTGGGGGTCGGTCGGTCGGTCGGTCGGTCGGTCGGTCGGTCGGTCGGTCGGTCGGTGCTGAATGAGCTCCCGGCTGCAGTTTGTGTGTAGGGAGGGGCGGGCGCTCTATGTGACTGGCCAATCACAAGAGCGTGAAGACCGTCAGTTACCCAATGAGGATTTTCCTTCAGCTCGATTACAGATATTTACGAGTTTTACTCGTTTCACGCTCGTATTCGTCAAAAATGCTTTATCCGTACCGGATCCCGTCTGAAACGAGTACCCGGCTCATCCTAGCTGTAACCACCTCGCCCTGCCTCCTCCTCCTTGCTGTCTGCCGGCTGTGATCACAAGCAACACAGAGTAGTTCCCGCTGCTTCTTTGGGAAACGGCGCAAAAAAATAATAAATAAATAAAGAAAATTTTTTAAATCAGTGAAACTTGGATCTTGTAGGCGTGGCGCTGGGATGTCAGGCGTGGCGGGTTGCCACGGCTACGCCTATGTGAGGGAAACACTGCTGTTCCTGTCCTCCTGGATGCAGCGTCCTCACGCTGAGGAAGTGTAGAAAAAAATACATGTAATTATCAACCGGTGGAACTTATTACACGGCTACATAATCGCAACATGTGGAAGAAATACATGTAAATTGATTTGCATAGGATCAAATGCGTATCAACATTCAAATAAACAAATAACAATGAATGTGTCATCAATATAATAAACATTACATAACCGTCTAAAGTCGATTTGAAAACAAAATGCATAAAAATAAGATGAAATTACCCTGAACTATAGACTAAATATCTAAACAGAATAGAATCATGATTTTCTAAACGATCAAGGTCTGTCTTTGTGGAGACACGCTGTAGCTGTCTACCTTCTGGTGCTGGAGGAGTTAACTTCTCATGTTATTTAGCTCTTTCAGCTCTAGTCCTTCTTTTCCCTCTTTAACATGTTTCAGCTTCCACCATTTGGGTCTTATTCCAGTATTTTCTGGAGCTCGTCACACGGCCTTGTGGGAAGTCCTCCTGCCACTGATATGGGGCTTCCTCCTCGGTCCCCTTTTTGAATCTAAAATGTTTTGTGTTAATAAAAAATGGCTGTGAGAATTATTTAGGGTTTCTCATGAACAGTCTATCACTAGTGCTGTCTGAGCCGTCCTTTCCTCAGCACAGCATTCATGCTCCTGATCCTGACCCAGTGGGCATTAGTGTTGTCAAAAAAATCGATACCTAGATATAAATCGATGCTAAAAAGTGGTATCTAAATGAGATATTCCATCCTGTGGTATCGATATTATGGGACTATTATACACAGCCTTCTTCAAGTACACCGACACGCACGACAGCCAGATGCCGTAAAGCAGCCTCCGCCTCCCAGACAACAGAAGAAGAAGACGCCGCATGGCTACATTACAATTTCCCACGCGAGTTGTCCTCCAATCCAAGTTTTGTCTGCCAAATAAATAAACAAAAACATAAACAGCGAATTTGGGAGGCGCTTCACAGCCCAACTTAATAGCATACCAAGTCCGACACGTAGTTGTATATTCACGCTTATGTGCTTAAAGGAAAACTCCCGTTTATTGCAACCCGACTTAATTTCTAGCATGCAGTACGTTTGTTTACTCACGCTGACAACTTTGGTGCTACTTGGATCCCCCGGGGTATTTAGATCCATCGGCGAATCACATCAGTGTATATCCATATAACGGGTGCGGACGGGCACCCATGGTGCCGCCTCGAAATAAGACATTATCTGCACCAAAACATCTTCATGTCGAAAGGTTTTGTTAGAATCATTAACGTGATTTCCCTGTTCGTTTGGAGCGGTCTGGGATTTCTAGGCGTGAACAGACTAGCCGCGGCTAATCTAACCGGTGCTTTTAATGACGTCACTGCCGTGCGCCAGTCTGTTTTTATTAAGATCACCGGTAGATGTACCTTTGTCCTACTGTGGAGAAATTCATTTTCTCCCTTTATTGACCAACAGAGTTGTTCAAAAGTACAGAACAAAAACATATGGCATTACATCTTATGACAAAAATGCACCTTAAACAGAGTTTAAGCAGCAAAACATCACTCTGCAGATAGTGTATATATAGTGAGACAATTCATGATTTAAAGTGTTAACTTTCACCAGTTTTGTATGCATGTTTTAAAAAATGCTGATACTTGAAAGGTTTAAGCACTTTATACACTTAATTCTTAACATTTAATTTTTGTAATATAATTGAGGAATGTTATTTTTTTGATATAAACTTGTTCGATAAATGGGTGTTTTTAAATAGTATCGAAATCGAGTATCGAGTTTTTTCTTCAAGTATCGAATCGAGTTGAAATTTTAGTATCGTGACAACCCTAGTGGGCACCGAACAACGCCTCATAAAGGCAGCTGATGAGGATCCACAAGGCCTCAGAGCTAGCTCCAGAGAAAGGCCTCACACTCAACTTAATAGATGTTGGGCCATTTTGACTCTTGAGTGTGTGTGTGTGTGTGTGTGTGTGTGTGTGTGTGTGTGTGTGTGTGATGTGTGTGTGTGTGTGTGTTAATCATGGGATTATATCGCGTTTAAAGCGTGCACAACCCGTGCACGCGCATTGGGTCCACAGCGCGCGCGTGAACGGGACTCGCGAGCGAAAATATACATGGCGAGAGGTCATTTGTGCACTGAGAGGGAGCAAACTGTGTGTCTGTGAGCGCACAAGGATGTGCACAAGTGACAAACCTGCGTGCGGGCGTTGTCAACGAGCACACGGCAGAGGGAAAACGTGCCCGCGCGGCAGCCTCTGTGCGCGCTCGGCAGCCTCTCTGCGCGCTCGGCAGCCTCTCTGCGCGCTCGGTTTCTGACTCCTGCTCGCTCGGCTGTAAGGGCTTTTGGCACTCTGGAGGCGTGGCCTGTGGCAGATCTTCTCTGTCCTCTGATGGTTAGTTTACCCCGCACTTTACCTCTATCTATATAAAAAAGTCTGATATTCAGTAGTTGCTGGCATAGCTCAGCTGGGAGAGCGGGTGACTCTCGCCCCGGAGGATCCAGGTTCGAGTCCGGGCAAGGAAAATGCAGTAGATGTCATGTTAATTTTTCTTATTTCAGGTATTTTACAGTTGTGCCGTTCAACTGTCATTAAACGTCCGAATGTTTGCTGGGCAGTGTTTTAAAAAGTGCACATAAGCTAGATGGTTTTAACCATATAAAATTACATTTTTTGTGATACTGGAAAAATACATACTGAAATAAACTACTTGATTGAAAACTTTATGACTGTGGTTGTACAATATATGACTCACTAATACACTGCAAACTCCCTTAGAGTGGGGCTTCCAGAGAGAGAGAGAGAGAGAGAGAGAAGAGAGAGAGAGAGAGAGAGAGAGAGAGAGAGAGAGAGAGAGAGAGAGAGAGAGAGAGAGAGAGAGAGAGAGAGAGAGAGAGAGAGAGAGAGAGAGAGAGAGAGAGAGAGAGAGAGAGAGAGAGAGAGAGAGAGAGAGAGGAGAGAGAGAGAGAGAGAGAGAGAGAGAGAGAGAGAGAGAGAGAGAGAGAGAGAGAGAGAGAGAGAGAGAGAGAGAGAGAGAGAGAGAGAGAGAGAGAGAGAGAGAGAGAGAGAGAGAGAGAGAGAGAGAGAGAGAGAGAGAGAGAGAGAGAGAGAGAGAGAGAGAGAGAGAGAGAGAGAGAGATTCTTGCCTCATTAATGAATTGTTTATTTTTTTCAGTATTTAATTGACAAATTATCCTTTCAAGTAATTAATTGATGAGTTACATAATTGTCCATTTAGAATTGTTGAATGGACTGAGTCAAGTTTGGTGCACTTTATATATTTCAAAACATGTTTTTTTAATGATGCATATAAATAATTTAAATGTTAATTTAATGAAATATTTCTATTTTTTCATTACCTCACCCTTGTTTTGACAAAAACAAGACCTTGCTGGATAATATCATGGAGAAACTATTTGTTCACAGTACATGGCTCAGTGAGGATCTGTGTACCAAAGGAGGAGATACTCAGAAATCTGTCTGCAGATTGTTACAACCCAGACTGGAAGTGGTGGGCTGTAATAAGAAAGGAGACCAAACAGAGGAGTGGGGGTTCAACAACTGATATATTTAACAAAAGTAAGGATTTACTAAAGCAAGTTAGTGAACAGAAAATGGCCAGTGAGGACTCTCCACTACACAGGAGAGACCCAGTGAAAGCAGAAAAACAGTAGGCTTTGTAGGCAGCACCACACCCTGAGCCCAGGTGCCTCCAAGGCTGCTTAACGAGCTGCCTACAACAGAAGAAAAACACAATTAAACACAAATGAAAACCCAATGAGACGGTGGGGGCATCACAACACGTTCAGGACTACCCAAACACCAGTAATTCTTGACTGCACTGATCTGCTTTAGTAAATCCTTACTTTGGTTAAATAAATCAGTTGTTGAACCCCCACTCCTCTGTTTGGTCTCCTTTCTTATTACAGCCCACCACTTCCAGTCTGGGTTGTAACAATCTGCAGACAGATTTCTGAGTATCTCCTCCTTGGTACACAGATCCTCACTGAGCCATGTACTGTGAACAAATAGTTTCTCCATGATATTATCCAGCAAGGTCCCGTTTTGTCAAAACAAGGGTGAGGTAATGAAGAAATAGAAATATTTCAATAAATTAACATTAAAATTATTTATATGCATAATAAAAAAAACATGTTTTGAAATATATAAAGTGCACCAAACTTGACTCAGTCCATTCAACAATTCTAAATGGACAATTATGTAACTCATCAATTAATTATTTGAAAGGATAATTTGTCAATTAAATGCTGAAAAAAATAAACAATACATTAATGAGGCAAGAACTTTTTAAACTTGAACATACCTACACCCACAAGTCTATTTTTACCTGGTTAAAACCATCTAGCTTATGTGCACTTTTTAAAACACTGCCCAGCAAACATTCGGACATTTAATGACAGTTGAACGGTCACAACTGTAAAATAATATCACAGGAATTAGGAAAGATTAATATGACATCAACTCTATTACTTGGCCGGACTCGAACCTGGATCCTCAGAGTGAGAGTCACCCGCTCTCCCAGCTGAGCTATGACAGCAACTGCTGAGTCTCAGATTTTTTTATATAGATAGCTAGAGAGTAAAGTGCGGGGTAAACTAACCAATCAGAGGACAGGGAAGATCTGCCACAGGCCATGCCTCCAGAGTGCCAAAACTCCTCACAGCCCGAGCGAGCGAATTAGAAACCGAGCGCGCAGAGAGGCTGCCGCGCGCGCACGTTTTCCTCTGCCGTGTGCTCGTTGGCAACGCGCGCACCCAGGTTTGTCACTTGTGCACATCCTTGTGCACTCACAGACACAGTTTGCTCCCTCTCAGTGCACAAATGACCTCTCGCCATGTATATTTTCGCTCGCGAGTCCCGTTCACACGCGCGCTGTGGACCCAGTGCGCGTGCACGGGTTGTGGCACGCTTTAAACGCCATAGAATTAGTTGGACAAAAGGACAAGCTGTGGTTACTGACAGACTATCCAAGCAGTTTCTGCTTCTTTTTATCAGTAAGTAAAATTATATTTCTGTACTTGATTGTGGTTGAATGGAGGATGCTGTTATTTGACTGCTAGGTCAGACATGTTAGTGGGGCTGCTGCTGGAAGAGAAACTTGAGCGAGTGCCCAGCTTCTCCTGTCTCCTGCCTGAGACCAGTTGCTAGAGCTGTTCCCGTTTCCCGGTGGCAGCCGACATGCGGACAGGGTTGAAATCAGTTTAATCATAATGTGCTGAGCATTGACATATAAATATTGGACAATGGGTTTCCATAGACTCCAATAACACGTTTTTGAGCTAAAATGGGAGGTGGCCACCACCGCCATTTTGACCGTGTCACAGGTTCCGTCAAGCCCAGACAATTCCATAAAAGGGAAGAGAGGTGGAGCTGAGGGTGGGGCTGTAAGGCTGGAATCAACTGACGACACCCGGTCGAACTAGCTACAAGCTAACCTGAAGCTAACCCAAAGCTAATGCGGAGGTGGGAGCTAAGCTAACGGAGGTAGCAACCTAGCTACAACCGGAGTTACCCGGACGTGCTGCTGCAGTAACATGCTGCTGACAGCTCCGGTGGAAAGAAGGGGTAAGTCTGGCGGGTGGCCAAGCAAAGCCTGGCGGCCTGCCAGGCTTTGCTTGGCCACCCGCCAGACTTATAAAGCGCTGGGGAAAACCCTACACACACACACACACACACACACACACACACACACACACACACACACGTGCATTTATGGTTTATGAAACCACTGATATTTTGGTGGTTTATGAGGACACACCTTTCCCTGCATCTGGTGAACACGACACGTATGTACAAGTTTAGCTTTTACCCGTATAAGTACAGTCTCACTTCAAAAATAAGAAAAACATATCAGAACATGCGTACATCTCACATGTGAATTTTCACAGGCTTGTGAGGACTTGACTACATGGTGGTTTATGGAGACCGTTAGGGTTTATGAGGTCTGTTTACACACACACACACACACACACACACACACACACACACACACACACACACACACACACACACACACACACACACACACACAAATCTAGATACACACACACACACACACACACACACACACACACACAAATCTAGATACACACACACACACACACACACACACACACACGTGCATTTATGGTTTATGAAACCACTGATATTTTGGTGGTTTATGAGGACACACCTTTCCCTGCATCTGGTGAACACGACACGTATGTACAAGTTTAGCTTTTACCCGTATAAGTACAGTCTCACTTCAAAAATAAGAAAAACATATCAGAACATGCGTACATCTCACATGTGAATTTTCACAGGCTTGTGAGGACTTGACTACATGGTGGTTTATGGAGACCGTTAGGGTTTATGAGGTCTGTTTACACACACACACACACACACACACACACACACACACACACACACACACACACACACACAAATCTAGATACACACACACACACACACACACAAATCTAGATACACACACACACACACACAGATCTTTTATGTTGCTAGGCAACAAGCATGACAATACACATGTATCCTCGTGAATGTGCACGATACAACCAGGCGCAGCTGTGGCTGGTCCTAGTCCGAGTTGGTACACTCGGCTCTAACTCCAGTCTGTCACACTCTGTCCTGTCTCCCCGTTCTGTTCATCATGTGACCCTGTTAGTTGCTCCCACCTGCCTCTCGTCTCCCAAGCTCCCTGCTCCTCATGTATTCAAACCCTCTCGGTTCTGTGTGTCTTGTTGGTTCATTGTTTCATGTCCAGCGTGTTTTACAGTAAATACCTTGCTAAAACCATTCCTGGCTGCCTGCCTGCCTTCTTCCCCAGCATGTGGATCCTCCCCTCCGGCTCAACTCACCTGCGCGTTGTGACTCATTCCACAGTTAGGACTGGTTTAAAGCAGCTTTCCGGAGTTTTCTACTTTCAGAAATTACGTGTGATTTGTCAGAAACCCGTAAAAGTGATTATCGTGTCATGTGCTGTGATAAAATGTAAGCTTTTTTTTTTTTTTTTTTTTTTTTTTTTTTTTTTTTTTTTTTTTTTTGCTAAGAATGCTTCTGCTCCACGGAGCTCCGTGCAATAGGAAACTGAGCACCGGCCAGAACTAACCAATAGCGGTAGACTACAGCTTACTTGCTTCAAATGTAAGGAATACCTCGACTGATGCAGAGTTGATGAACTTTTTAAGGACAAGTAAGTCTTTAAAACATAAATATATGAGAGCACAACACGACATGAGAATAATACTCGTAAAACAACGTGTTTTAGCTGTTTGTCGGCTACAGAAGCACATTTATAAACAACGTGAAGTCGCCATCTTAAAAAACAGATGAAGTGTGATATGCTTGTCAGCCACTAGATGGTGCCATCGAATAAGAGAAATTCTCTGGAAAGAGACTTAAAGTGAGGACCAGCTGGTGCACTCTGCTCCTGGTGCCCAGAAACAAACAGTCAGAGTGAATTCCTCTGTTTCTGCTGCAGAGTGCCTCCTACAGGAGCACACCACCTGGCTGCAGACTTCAGCTCAGCTCTCAGGCTGGTTGACACAAAGCTGGCAGACCATGCGGACCAGGTCTGGGTCATAGGAGGAAGCTCCCTTTACAAGGTACCTCTATTTGTTTTTACTACATGTGGAAAAGTACTGTTAGACATCTAATTTATACTGGTGTCTGCTTTAACACCTGCTGATCTTTGATATTTGGTTTTAGGAGTTGATGGAGAGCAGAGGAACAAAGAGGCTGTTCGTCACACGAATCCTAAAGCAGTTCGACAGCGACACATTCCTCCCTGAGATCAGCCCTGAGAAATACCGACTTCTGCCAGAGTGAGGAACATCACACACCGTCAGCACACTGCTGAGAGGTCCACAGCACCGTCTGAAGGATGTAGAAGATTTTATTTTTGTACTTTTCACACTCAGAGGTTTAGATGTTCCCTTACTGCAGTGACATGCTAGGAGTTCACAGAAAGCAGACATTGTGTTCCTTCAAGTAGAGTGGTGAAAAGGTCCAAAGACCTTCATCCTGTAAAACCAGTTGTAACTGGTCTGTTCACCTGCTGCTGGCTGGTGTCATAAGGAATCTTTGATGCATCTCTCTGCTGCTCATCAAACAGGACAGACCTCAGTTCAGCAGTCAGAGCTAATGTGAGACGGGGTTACAGCAGGGGTGCGTGTGCCTGAGTGGTTCGTGAGCGCATTACAGGGGTTACATGGAAACATTTACGTTCCATTTCCCAGATAATGGGATCAGTCATTCTCCAGCATTCGCTGTGCCCTGGTAAAAAAAATTTTCGGGATGTGTTATTTTTAATGAATACGCAGATGTAGTAATGCATGGTAATACACAGTTGGTATGATATAAATTCATGCCGGCGCGGCTGCATGGAGGAAGCTGCGTCAGCTTTGGGGATAGCAGCTGGTAGGGCTGCACGATATTAGCAGCTGCACCCGCTACTGTATTAGCAGCTGCACCCGCTACTGTATTAGCAGCTGCACCTGCTACTGTATTAGCAGCTGCACCCGCTACTGTATTAGCAGCTGCACCTGCTACTGTATTAGCAGCTGCACCTGCTACTGTATTAGCAGCTGCACCCGCTACTGTATTAGCAGCTGCACCTGCTACTGTATTAGCAGCTGCAGCTCCACCATAAAACTTGTTCTGATGCTCCAAATACAGAAAAACATCCCTTACCAGGGTTTTTGAATAAATAAAACAATCAGAAATAAGTTTAAATGTTAAATAATGGTTAACATCACTTAAATGCAACAGCAAATTCTCTCATTGCTACTGAACATTTTCTCCACTTATGTGGTTATGATATGAGGCTGTTGCTGTAATTGGGAAGTAAACTGTGCTGGGCCAAACTAGGAGAATATTAAGATTTTCTGAGGGAAAGAGAAAAACAATTGTCTACCTCTCAGAAGAGGAACTGGCAAAAAACTACATGGAAAATATGTGAAAACGTGTGTTTTTAACCCCAAATTGAACAAGTTTACCTAGATCTTAAAAAGCAGCTCAGCTGATGAAACTGACCTTCTTCACCTCTCTCTCTTTGTTCTGCTCTCCCCACCTATTCCACCTTCCTCAGGATCCACTGATTTCCCTCTTTCCTATTCTCTCTCTTAACATTTTTTCCATGAAACGAGTATCCGGCTCATCCCTAGTTATCAGATTCATGGGATGTAGTATCCTTCTGGGCTTGTAGGAAGATGGAGTGTAAAATCCACCTTAGAGGATGGAATGCATGTCTGCAGATGACCAGTGGCATGTAGGTCAATATGTAGGTTAAAACTGACAATTTCTGGACATTACATTTATAAAAATCTATTTATTACTATGTTTCTACTACTAATGATGATGCAGGATAAATTATTATAAATGGGGATCAAGTGAGACAATGAATAAACTGATTAAACATGACCTTATGTGTTATAAAAGCTTAATTAAGTGACTCAGAAAGATGTGATGTCTGGGTTTATAAAATACCGTAAATCCTCTAATACAGGCCGGTATTCAATTAAAGGCCGGGTCTCCAATTTTGGCCGGTGTCAGAGTCAGCAGAGGTAAATAATGGCCGGTCTCTTATTGTGGCCGGATGGAATGTGGTAACAAGCAAGTACAAGCGTCCCAGCGGCAGGGTTATAGTCCCTAAATCAACCAGCAGGGGGCAGTAGGGGTTCACGCAGACATTTATTAGGCTCTTTCTTCAAGCTTTATAACGCTTCAGACACGATCCTCTATCACGCTCCTACCACACAGAGTCACGGTGTCAGTTAACCATGCTAATTCAACCCGCTCCACAGAACACACATCACCTTCCCTGTGGCTTACATAACACTCACACAACACGCAAATCAGCACATAGGAACTAGCAGAACGATAGGAAACACATATAACACAATACCCAGAATGCACCTGGCTTACAACCCCAGCCAGGTCATTACACTATCAAGTTCAAAGAGAACGTGCTGATTATGCTGCAGAACACTATGGGGAGCAGCAGTAGGGGGTGTATGAACTACAGTAATCCCTCGTTTATCGCGGTAGATGAGTTCCAGACCTGGCCGCGATTGGTGAAAATCCGCGAAGTAGGGACTCCCAGCATGCCCCTCGCGGGGATTCCCTCCACGTCGCATCTACGTCACAAACCGCGGCTATAAACGGAAGTCGCCTTTACAGCTCAGTCATCGTTTCTTCAGATTCATGATCAGAGTTTCCAACCTACCGATCAATCCAACGAACTATCAGCTCATAGTAAGTTATCTTACTTACTTCTGGAAAGCCCGGCATTTCTGTGTCACTTCGTTGACGCTCGAACGCTCGGGGGTTTCCTAGAGCAGCCGGCGTTTCACCGACGCTCTCACTTCCGCGTCTGTGAAACCACGCTCCCTATTGAATTATCGTATGATCACATTCTCTGTGATCAGCAATGCGCTGTGCCAGACCGTAGGTACTGACACGCGATCGTTCATGTCGGTTCAATTCCTTTAATGTTTTCTGTCTTTTATTTGCGCCTGATGCATTTCGCTGCATGCTGTGGAGCGGGGCGGTGCGCGCATCAACTTGTCCTCCAACGCACTGATCACTGATACGGCCGCCAAACAGCAAGCGCTCCGCTGTTTTTGTGGTCGGTAGATATTTTAGAACTGCAGTTCAAAGGTAACTCATGAGGTGAATATATATGAACCCAGGCAGCAGTTTTTCTTTAGGATTGAGAGGAGATGCAGGAAGATAATAAACAGACAGGACAGAAAAATAGTCAAATAAAAACAAGTTAGTTTTTGTACCTGCTGTTGCAACAAACAGACACCACTGAAGGTCATCAGAAGTGAGGAACAGAAAATGAAATAATTATTTTAATGTTTAGAGCAGCAGGAACTCCAAGAGGCTGCAGGCACATCAGTGAGTTTGCGGCTGCTGCGCAGGGGGAGGGGGGAGAGGGCTGAAGCAGAAACTACCGTTGTTAAAAGAAATGTGTTTAACTTTGAAAATGTGGGCACAATTTTAATTGTCAAAAACTCCAGCAAACCATTAGTTCATTTTGCTCAAATAGAAATAGAGGCCTGCCTCTAATACTGGCCCTCCTTCCAATAAAGGCCTGGAGCTTGATGAGCTTGAGTCAAATACAGGCCCGGGCCTGTATTAGAGGATTTACGGTAATCTGGTTGAATTTTATTTAGATTTAATTATCAAATTAATCTGAACCCATCCAGCACCAGTGCAGAGTTACGGTACCCATCTGCATTGGGATGTAGCGGTGAGGATTGACCACTTATTTATTAAGTGATCAATAAGATGTGATATTCCATTTAAATATGATTTATCAATCTGATTGATCTTTGAATACTTGATTAAACATTCCTCTAGGTTCTTTGACTAGTCAGGGAACACACACCTCATATTAATTCAGACAGAGTCAAGTATATAGTTATAAAAATGAATTTTATTCTATTTTTCTAAACTAGTGATTATACATAAAGTATGAAAGAGATGATGGTTGTACAGGATGTCGGATAATAAATGAAATGATGGAATGGAAGCTAGACGTTTGTAGCAGGACCTTGTAAGTTATCTGAGAGACCTTGTGATGTCTGGGTTGTAAAATCGGTTTGGCTGTATGGTTTGATAAACTAGATTATTCGTAAAACCATCCGACGCCATTTGTGCAGAGTCTACACACCCTTTTGTGTTGAAGGTCCCCATACGATCCAGGGGGGTCAAGAGGTTGGGATGGACACTGCCGGACCCCTGGGCAATGGAACCCGTAGTCTAGCTCCAAGCATGACCCATCTAGCCTGAGGTACCCTCCAGGTGACGGCAGGAAGCCGGCGTATCTTTTGCCTCTGAGGCTGTTGTGTCTGATATCACTTGCAAGCGCTGCAGAGCGACTGTGACCTTGAGGTCAAAAGAGAGGATGGTTTCAAATGCTTGCTCACCGGTCGGCCTAATCAGGAGGCTGCTGGAGAACTAAGAAATCAGGAAGTGATTCCTGTATATATCAACTTTATTGTTGATAAATTTGGACTAATCAGAACTTGACAAGTTTAAAGGCGGTACCAAAGACCTCAGAGATTCACTCCTTCACTCAGATACATAGAGGTTAACTCTTAGTGTGAAGTGAAAATGTAATTATAGTTATGTGGTGCAAAAATGTTAAACATTAATAATAATAATAATAATATGATATTATTGTGTTTGTACTGATAGATTAAATTACTAGAATCAACAATTACTAATAATGGTATAATTTAAGTTCTGAAATGAATGATTACAGGAGAAATATTGAAACTCATCACTGATTATTGTTAGGGCTGCAACTAACGATTATTTTCATAATCGATTAATCTGTCGATTATTTTTTTCGATTAATCGGTTTGTTATTGTTAAACTATTTAACCTATACAAGTGATGATTACATTTCAGTTAAGAAAAAGAAAAACATAGGAGAATTGTGCAGTTGACTGCAATCTATTTTATTGCACATGAACACAGTCAGCGGTGTAGAATGAGCTAAACAGTGCAAAATATCAGTCCAGAATAATTTTTTGGCATCAAGATATAAGAGGTAAATTCCATAAAAAATAATGTAGAATCTAGATTAGAGTTTGTAAGTGGTATGTGTAATATCCTCAAGTAGACACAATGACATCCAGAGAGTAGGGTCTTGGTTGAACCTCGTTTATTCCCATCACACCGAAGCACCACAGCTTACGTTACACACGCATGAAGGAAGTGCCCCGGACCTAGCTAAACAGTGCTGCCAGAATGGAGCACTGGCTCCCCCTAGAGGCGTCATGTAGTAGTTTCCTACCTCAACTACTAC